TGCGCGAGGGCGCGGCACTCTGCGGACCAACGAGCCCGCGAGTTTCAGGCATGGTTCTGCTCTGAAATAGCTTTGTGTGTGTGTGTTTGGTTGATCTGTCTTTGAGAAAAAAGGCTAAAAAGGACTAAATGTGTGTGTGTGTGTGTGTGTGTGTGTGTGTGTGTGTGTGTAACGTGCAGGAGGGAACCAGCAAAGAATTTTTAAAAATTAAAAAGTAAAACAAGGTCCCAGGGAGACAGCTCAGTAGAATAAGCGCTTGCCTGGAAAGCACAGAGTCCTGAGTTCAATCCTTGGTACCGCAACAAAAAAACAAAACAAAACAACCCAAAAACGTAAAACAAAATGAGAAAACATAATCAAATAGAGAGTAACAAAAGTCATTTGATATTGTTTTGGCTATGTGGCTCTTTTCCGAGGCCTAGGGCTAAGAGAAGGAAGGGCTCAGGCCAGAACACTTCAACGCCCCTCCTGAAACCCCAGGTGACAGACAGTCGGGCCCAGAAGGGCGCTGCGTGCAGAGATGGCTCGCAGCCAGGATGGGCCAGGGTGCCTCGAGGCTGCGGGCTCACTGCCCTGACCTGCCCGCAGCTCGCCGCTCCGCCTGCTCCAGCGCGGCTGTGTCTCGGGCTCCTCGTGTCTTTCAGCTCCTGCACCCTGAGCACGCAGCCGTAGGAAGGTGCTGTCCAGCGACACCGCCTCAGAGGCGAGCCCGGGCCGCAGTGGGTCTCGCCAGCTCCGGCTTCCCAGCGGCAGCTCTGGGCACGTGCACGGGGCTCTCGCCAGCTAGCGATCGTGCGGTCCGCTCTGGAAGCCGCGTGCCACGTTCGACTTTCTGGTTCCAGCTTCCGGCGATTCTGCTTGTGTGCACGCAGGTCTCGTGTGCTCTGGTGCTTGGTGGCCCCCCAGGTGGTCTCCTTCCTTGGCGTGGCCTGTTATTTCTCACCTCACCCTGTTTTCTTTTCCTCTGTCCTGTCCCTCCCGGCTCCCTGGCGTCCTCCACTGCCTCCAGTTCCTCTCCAGTTACTGTTGGTGGAACGCTAGGCCCTTCATCCTGGAGAAGCTGCCCCCAGCCAGTGCGCTGCCTCATACAACTATTGACCAGAAAATCTAACGCATGAACATATCAGTTGGAAAAAGAAGTTTATAAAGATGATGTAAGACTAAGAAGCCATTAGAGCAACGCCCGACTTCATGCCTTTAGACAAAATTCGTCATAAGCGAAGTACAAGAGTGTATAAAAAATTGTTTTAAATACGTGAAAAGAAATACAAAATTGGTCAGTGAGTGTTTAATATATGTCAAATAAAGCAATAGGACTCAAAGGTACTAGAAATAGATAGGAAAATAATTAGATTTCACATAAAGGTCAATGCAAATAAATTTTAAGCATTTGTTCAATCTCATTCACAAAAAATTTCAAATTAGTTACACTAATGCCAGGCAAGGTGACACACATCTCTAGTCCCAGCACTCAGAAGGCTGAGGCAAGACGTTTGCCACGAGGTTGAGGCCACACTGGATTACATAGTGAGTTCAAGACCCACCTGAACTACATAGCAAGATCCTGTCTCAAAAAATAATAAATTAAAGATTATACTGCCGACTCAGTGCTGCAATATAGAAAAGCTGATACAATTTGCAGTGCCGAGGAGCATGTAAAAGAACAAATAGAAATGATACAGATGGGATTAAAATTTGCATATCTGAGGAAGGTGATTTGACAATATTTAGCATAACATATCCATTAGTTAAACATAAATGAAATGACTAAAATATGAAACTATTCATTGTAGAAGTAATAATTATTATATAAAAGGACGTGTGCACAGCCCAAATGCCTACAAGTGGATTGTTGGTTTAATCCATCAAAAGATACTTTAGCACCAAGTATCTTTTCTATGGTGGTTGTCTTTTATGTAGCTCCCTTACTTTGATGTATCTTCCAATATTCTTTGTCTGCTTAAGAAAAATGCACAGTTTTATAAGATTATTGGGAATAACATACAAAACTATGGAATAACTTCTATTCTTTTTTAAAAAAATTAATTTTATTGAGAAAGAAATAGCAATGAGACAGTTTCAAAACAGGTTAGCTGGACAGCTACAATAATTAATACATTGCATATGGCTGTCCATCATAATAGTTATTCAGAGTACAAAAGGCAGACATGATATCTTGTCTAAATTCTATTAGTACAAATCTTTCTTCCCATTGAAGTAAGAGAAAGTCATTCTATAAATTTAAAATAAGAAACATGTTGATGTGAGTGAAGGTAGAAAATTGCATCTGGAATTTTGAAAACTGCAAGTCCTCATGAACTGTTCGTGTACATTGGTCATTTGTCACTGCAGCACATGAAAGCTCACAGGCCACCGTTTGGCCCCATTAGAAGTTTGTGTGGCCATGGTCTACCCGGAGCTCATGAAGACCACTTTAAGATGGGTTTTATAGAAGTATACAGATCAAGGCTCACATAGTTATTTATAGAATTGGGTATGTAGTAAGCAGGGAAGTTTGGATACATGGAGATGAGTGGTCATTTAGAAGGCTCGATGCATAGGTAGGTAGATGGGCAGATACACAGAAGACTGGCTGAAGGAGAGGCTGAGAGACTCATATCTATGTCTGCTTCTTCGGCCAAGTCACCCCACAACCATATGAATACATACACATCGTATGGCCTCTTCACACCCTAACCTGATAACTTTATTTAGTGTTTAACAATAAAGCATGACTAAGTTTCCAGAAGAATAGTGTTTTGCCCTAAGGCAGTATTTTTTCAGAAAACAAAATTAAAAATAAAAGCAAAAGAGGTATTAAAAGATACTCGCAGCATTTTACTTGACCAGAATAAAACAACAGCATAGAGGATATCAGCAGGAATAATAAATAAGCTTAAACATTCTTTCATGACAATGTTCCTTCAGTTTTAAATTTCATTCACTTATTTGTAGACTGGTTTTAATGTAAAATATATTTCTTAAACAGGAGCAAGATACAAAGTCAAAATATTTGAAAAAAAATTGCCATATTTTTAGCAACTACATAACCAGAGAGTTTAATCTTAGGTCTAAATAAGAAATCAATTTCCAGGGCTTTATAGATTAGACCACAGCTACTGCAATTAATATTTATTGCAAATTTGCTAAATGTTTTTCCATTCATTTTAAATGGGTCTTATAAACTATGCTCTTCATGCAGACGAGGCAAGTGAGATTTAGTAGAGTCGGTTGCCTTTTCCAAGTGTATTTAACTAAGAAGCTGTGAACGGAGTTGGGAATCCTGCCCAGGCTCAGCCCCACACTATCTCAACTGGCAGGTATGGCAAGCCAAATTACTCATTCATTTACTTCCTCAAAAAGTACTTAGGGCACACACCCTGTTCAACGGGCAGGAACAGCTCTTGCTACAAATGCTCTGGGTGCAGGGGTGCAGGGAGGAGCACGGGATAGGGGGTGATCGACCTGGCCTTTGTTTGGATGGAGCTCAGAGTCTAACATAATGGCTTGTGGATAATTGTGATGAAGAAGGAGGAAGCAGAGATCTGCTACCCCTGGGAAGAAGGTTTTGACTTCACTGGTTTCTCCAGCTCTTATGCTTTGATCAGCCCACTGCTCATCCACAGTTTCCTCATCTTAAACTGGAGATTATAAGACTAAATGTTGTGGCTTTTGGAAGGAGGATTAGAAACCATAAGGTAAAAATTCAGAACCCTGCACTTGGCATCTGGCAGCCATTGTCATTAGCCATCCTTTTGGGGGCAGCTTACATTTTGGAGAATACTGGCTTAAAACAGGAATTTGAAGCATCAACGGGAAGACTGACACATACAAAGCCTCGCTCCTAAGCACCTGTCAAGCCTCTTGCATGTATAAATGCCAATTTGTGGTCCTTGGCAGATATAAAGTTAAAAGTTGTCTACTAGTAATGTGCTAAATGCAGATGACAAAAACATAAGACAGTACAGAGAAAATCGAGAGCTCAACACTCCCATCCGTGCCAAATTATCTCGTTTGCTCAATCTACACAAATCTTTAAAACAAACCTTGCTTGCTTCTGAAAATTCTCTTGATTCAACAGTTACTTGTTCTGCTGGAGAGTAAAATATTTCCTTCGAGACAGTGACAAAGGCTAAAGCTGCTCGGCGAGAGTCTGTTTGACGTTTCCCATAAACATTTATCCTGACCTTTGGTACCATTCTACTCCCTTGGGCTTAGCTCCCTGAGGTAGAGATGACAACATATGCAGAATTACATGGTGGCTTGAGAACATTGCTTCAGTAAGAAGAGTAAAAAACAATAGAAATTCTATCAGCTTTTCTAGGGCGAAAGCCTGCAGTCACTTTGGGAAAGGTTTATGTAAGGTCTGACATTTCAAAATGAGGCATCAAATATTCCTTACTGCTTGACTTCGCAAGTTGGAACCCTTGAACTTTTTGAAAAGGAAAAGAAAAGAGAAAAGGAAAGGAAAGGAAAGAAGAGCTTTAAAGGGGTCCCTTCTTCCCCATCCATCCTGCCAACCTATTCCAGACAGAAAAGATCTCCCCTGAGCAAATGTTTTTCATGAAGTTAAAATGAAGAACTTAAAGAGATGAAATGGAAATGCTATCTTATTCACATGAGCAAGTGCAAGGGCCAGAGTTCTACCCCTGGTTCTGAAAAAAAAAATGCTTATGAGAAAAAACCGTGAATCCTTCCATCCTGCTGGAAGGCGTACTTTTCGAGATACCCTCCCAATGGCCTCCTACTTGCATTTCATGCATGTTCATTTTTCTGTCTACTAATTCTTAGCTGAAATCCTTAACTTCATTCAAAGACAGAGGATAGGAATGTTGAGGAATTCAGACTTTAGACCTATGATTGGTTCAAAAATAAACAATTAATTGGGTTTTCATATTTGCGGTTAAAGGGTTTCCTTTCTTAGAATCTTAACTTATCCTCTGGTGGAATCTGACTTCCCTTAAGAGTGTTATCCGGGCTGGCCAAATAGTTCAGCAGAGATCCCTTGGTTCATGAGCATGATGATTCACCCAATCACACCTTAGGCACGAGATGTGCCTCCCTCAAACCTTGTTACAACATGGGCACATTACCCATCTGACGTGAAAAATGAAAAAGAAAGAAAGAAATAGCTCAGCAGAGTAAAGCACCTGCAAGCAGGTGCAGGGGCTGGCCTGGCCCCAGGGCATACTGAGAGGGCAATTGAGACTGGGCATGGTGGCGCACGCCTATAATCCCAGCACTTGGAAGGCTGTAAACGAGATGATCATTATGAGTCCAGTCTAGTAGTGAGACCCTGAACACCCTGCAGACCCTTCCCTAAAACACAGAAGAAGAAAAAAAAACAAGGGTATTATCCTATATGAGCCCAAAACATATCCATTTGTCCACAGCAATTAACATATCATAAAAATGTAAAATACATCACAAATATGGCAGGAGAATAGATATTTTAAGAGGAGAAATATTCTCTAGTGAAAGAATATTGGAAATTTTGCAGGAAAAATGGAAATCTAGCTTCTGTACATAATGAGCCTAGTTGTAATGTGTGGGCCTTTGGAAACATTAGCTGTCCATCTATCATCTGTAGGGCAGAATAAAAATTTCAAAGATAAAAAGTAACCTGAGTTGTCATCACTTTGACCTAACAGTGGCTTTTTAAACAAAACCCAAAAACCATAGCAAGCACACACACATACACACTTGCACCCTGCACGGGCATACAAGAGCCTCCTCTGAACTGCCTGTCCCAAGATCATACTTTAGTTAACTGGAGAAAGAAACCCCCATCCCTGATTTCACCCCCTACAAGCTTCACACCTCATTCAGTTCTTCCTGTTGGGTTAGATTCCAGCTCCTACCTCCTGCATGCGGCTTAGGAAAAACTGCATTCAATTATCCATCCTGACTTTACCTAGAATTAAGGCCACTGCTAGGTTCCTTTTACATCTTCCAACTTTAAAATTAAATTCTTCTTCTTTTTTCCAAGAGTTATAATAGTCACAAACAGAACAGTCCTTGTTCACTGAGCACACTCTGGACAGCAGAATAAGGAGTTCTGAGATGAAAAAGGAGAGATGAAAGCAAGAACAGAGAGATGGTGGGACAGTGACAGGAAAGGAAGAGGGAGTGACCCAGGTGCGAGGAGAGGTAAAGGGAAGGGGCAGCGTGCGGCGGCGGCAGCAGCCTTGCACCACGTGGGAAGGCTCTGAGGAGGGAGTAGTCAGGCGCCTGCCGCAGGACCAGTGTGTGCTGGCCTCGTGCTCTTCTCACGCTTTTCATTGCTCCCTACTTTCGATCGCACCCAAAGCCCACCTCCCAACTGCGTATCAACTCCTGTAAACCTAGAAATAGACACACAAGACGCACTGGAGCTGGTCTTTCCGTGGGCTGCATGCGCTGCGAAGACGACTCTCCTCAAGGTCACCTGCCTGCTTCCAGTATCGCCTTAGGATAAGGGCACCTTAAGATATTCTCAGCAGTTCATAGGTTTGTATAAAATCCAGGACCCATTTTTGCGGCTGCTAACCCCACTTCTGAAAGTAAAAGGCCTAACTTGATAGGCAGGAGTCACAGACACTGGTGAAAAGCCGTGGGTTTCAGGAGGTCAGCACCGGGAGACCCCAGCTGCTCATTAGAATACCTGATGGCCTTGAAGACCAAACGAGGCAACGCCACAGCGCCCAGGGCCCGCTACCCACGGTCGTAAGGCCACGATCGTCGCGGGGTGAACACAAGTGCCAGCGTTTGTTGCAGATCTGGATGCTACTTACTGGACAGGGACACACTCCAGCTGATTTCAAGATTCACTCTTAATCTGGTTTAAGAATTATGGTTTTACGGCCCCTCCCCAAGGGTGCACTGAGACGGCTATTGAGATTGATTGTAGTGGCCCGCACCTATAATCCCAGCGCTTGTGGAGGCTGAAAAACAGGAAGGATCACTACAAGTCCGATCTGTGTGGTGAGACCTTGTACTTAATACATAAAAAAAAAAAAAAATTGGGATGGAGAGATGGCTCAGTAGAATAAGCACTTCCCTGGCAAGCGCAAGGGCCTGAGTTCAATCCCCAGTCCCCACCCCCCAAAAAAAGGAAATAAAATAAATAAATAAAAATAAAAGAAAGAACTATGATTTTTAGACCAGTTCGTTTTTTTAAAAAACATAAGCACCACTGGAATTACCTGGAGGACTTAATTAAGAGGAAAGCAGACTGCACTTCAGGTTTTCTTACCTTGTATGTCTGACTAAGGGTTTGGCTGCTGGCATTTCCCTCCCTCCTCAGCCCTCCGCTGGTTGGCAGTGGGCTGCAGAGGCCAGGCGCTACAGAAGAACCGTGCCCCGGCCCACATCCGGCCACAGGGCTGATAGGCAGTCGCTGCTGATCTCGTGCCACACTTGAAGAGCACGGCATCAGTCAAACACTGAGTGGATGGGACAGTGGAGGCCAAGGGGAGCCGGGTGAAGGAGCAACCCAGTGGGGTGGACGACATCTGGGCAAGGTATGGCCCTGCAGCGTGAGACTGGTGCTCCATGCCACAGACAAAGAAGGAGGGAACACTGTGGGCTGTAGCAAAGACTCTGAGTAAGAAGCCCATTGACATAGCAAAGCTGTGGATGCATTAGGGTGCCATGCCGAACTTAAGACATCTTTGTGACATTGTAACCCAAGCCTGCTCATGGACTCTCTGGTAAGTGATTAACCTAAAGTCTGTGGCCTACCACATCTGTCCCTTGGTACATTAGGGTGACAATGACCACACCCTACAGAGCATAAAAGGATACTTAATTTGGAGATAAGTGAGTCTTAGAGGAATAATAAAAGAGGAGATTCACTTTTAAGTCAAACAAGAAGATAGTGCTGGTTTGGGTAAATAAATAATCGCAAAGCAAAGAAAATGTAACTAAAAGGCTTCCAAGAAGATTCAAGCACAGGCTGCAGAACAACATAAAGGTAAATCTTTTTAAATTACCAGTATTTGAATGTTTAACCTATAAAGTAGCAGCTGATAAGTTTGCCCTACGAGTAACCTTACTAACAAAGTCTGGCGCCCTTCATGGACTTGAGCATAAGCCTTGCTTCGGAGCTCCATCAGCAGTGCTGCTATATGCATTTTCCTCTCGGCTCTCCCTAATGAATTTCTGGCACCTGATTAGCCCTGTGTATGTGAAGGTTGCATACGCAGATGTTCTCCAAGGCAGGAAGATGCTCTCGGAGCTTTGGGATACACTCAATAGCTATCTTTAAGGCCAACATTTGTTTAGATCTTGTGTGCTTTGTGTTAGGTCGTTAATTTTGGAAATGTCTTCATCTATTTCCATCTATTTATTGTTCTTGGTTTTATTTTACTCCTACAGTTCATGCATTGGACTATAGCCTGTAGATAAGTTGTCTAGACCATGAACCACCATGTCCCTTGCCCTCCACACCTCTTCCATCTTACAGAGCAGAAATTATTTTGCCATTACACTTGCAATCATTGTTCAATAAAGCTTTCAGTAGCCCCCTTTCACCTTTGACAAATTTCTAGTTTCTTTGCTGAATGCCCTTCATCTTTTCTATTTATTCTTTAGCTGGATTCAATATTTAAGTGACTCTTACTTTGCAATGCATGCACTGTAACCCCAATTTTCCATTTGTTGGAGTTTATTTTCTCAGGAAAATGGCACTTTATTATAAATCTCTTCATCTGAGTTGGGGAAATAGAGTTTTATTCTAGCCTCACCTGGGACACCCTCCCACCTTTTGCTTAAGTAGGGAAGGGAAAGGCAACTCTGGCTTTCTCCTCATTGTTTCAGCAGGCTGCTTAATCAATGCTAGCCTATGACAACTTCTGCATAGCAAGATAGGATATATATTACTTATGAAAGGTAAACACAAGGGCTATACCTGAAGCTGCCAACTCCCAGCAGATGAAAGTAATATTTGATTCCAGGAACTCACAGCTGTGCTATGCTGTCAGCTCGTACGCTAGTACTGTACTCCTCTTCCTGTAATCAAGGTCCTCTGAAAAAAGCTTGTATATTACATTTATATGTACTGAGTCAATTTCAGTGTCGTAGAGGACACAAGATAAAAAATTAGGAATTCATTTAAGTAGTGCTTTATATTTTAAGACACTTTGATATATTTTATGTGACTGTGTTTTCATTACAAATAATGCTGCAGAAATAAACCACATGGCAGCATGTACCTCTGTCTCCACTGGATTAAGTTCTATGGCTTGAACAAGTTCACACAACACAGTACTTAGTTTTTTAGCATTAAATTATAAGGGCAAGATTTTGTTTTACAATCAGGTTTTGCTTTTCACATTTCAGGCATCTAAAGGCTAACTTTCAAATTCTGATATTAGACTGGCTTTACCTCTATTCTTTTCTGGGTCTTTCCTCCATATGTGGTTTTGTGTCCTATAATTTATCTCTAGATGCCTAGATGATCAATATCCTAATCTATCTGTCTCCTTGGTATTTTACTTTTATAGAAGTGATCTCAAAATTTTTAGTTAAATGCAAAAAGCTATGTCTTATTTACTCTGGTTGCTTCTAAATAAAATGGGCTGGGTGCCTTCTGTACCATAGAAGTGGATTTTTCTTAATTCTGGCCCCAAGAAATCCAAGACAAAGCCAGTTACATAGGGTCCCTGTCTGGGGAGGGCCACCTGCTCACGTGAGCCACTTCCTGTTGCATCTTCACATGGCAGAAGGGAGAAACATCTGCTGTTCATCTTCTAGAAGAGCACCGATCCCACTCACAAGGGCCCTGCCATCGTGACTAATTGCAGTCACCCTAAGAAGACCTCCATTTCTCTGTGCTGTCATCTTGGGGATAAGGTTTAAAAGAGGTTCACATTTTTGTTTTTGGTACTGAGAACCAAACCCAGGGCTTCCAGCTTGCTAGGCAAGTGTTCCTCCACTGAGCCAAATCCCCAGCCCCAGGGATAAGGATTAAAACACGTGAATTTTGGAGAGGCCCAAATACTCAGATCATAGCAGGCTGCCTCTATGTTTTTGTGTCGCATAACAGGAGACAACAGATTGACACCAAATAGGAAACTGACTTTCCTTCAGAAACCTACCATGTGAGTATCACTCAGCATTCC